TCCTAGCTGTCTTGAAGAAACTCAGGAGAGGAAAGGCTTAACTCCCATAAAAGGGATGGTGACTAAGAAGGTCTTTCTCTGTGGTCCCTGATAAAGGACACTCCCTTGAGGGAGGGACTCAGATATAACCTTTCCTTCCAGATTTTAATATCAACAGCCCATTGAAAAATCTGCCTTCCCCAAGCAGGTTATTATCTACCAGACCACTAAACTGTCAAGCTACGAGGAAGCCTGGGCTTCAGGAGATTATCCGTGCCATCGCAACCACTGCTAGACAAGGATTAGAATCAAATTTAATAAATGGTCTACACTGATGTGTCCTTCAGTCCTTGTTCTAAGCCCTTCGGCACACAACTCCAGCGGTCAGCTGTCTCCAGGCTGGCCAAATGTCATCCCTGAGTGAAATCGGCTGGGCTTGCAGTAGGCTTCCCCCAAGAAAACAGATGGTGTCTCATCCTAATCAACGTCAAGTTTATCGTTAAGAGGCTCTTTGCTGACAACCCTGTGCTACAGCCCTCGCCTTGGCGATAAAAATATCCCAGGTACGCTAATCCGACAGGAGGCTGAAGATAAACCTGCCATCTGGCACCTTGCAGAAAGCTGGGTGTGGTCTGCAGACTAGGCAACACTGCTGCACGTAGCTATGGGAGAAACAAGTCCAAGAGGTCACCACTTCCTGGGATGCAGTAGTGAACAGCTGTGCTGTCAACCTCTGCCTTTGTCAGCTCCGCAAAAGGAGTGTTCCTGTCCAGGCAGCTGGGCTGCCTTTGGAGGTTCTTATTAAAATTCAGATCGGTGTGGTGGCCCAGTGGTGAAGACTCTCGCCTCCCGCTCTGAAGGTTGAGAGTTCAACCCTAGGAGCGGCAGATGTTTCTCTTTTACCGAGTAAAGGAAAAATATATCTGCTGTGAACTCTGCGTAGGCGTCAGGAAGGGCATCCAGCCAGTAAACGCTGAGCTCCAGCCAGTCACCTCGACTCTAGCCCAAATTAAGGGACTACAGGGTTGTAAAAAAAAAACCCACAAAAATTAAAATTTAGATTGGGAGCCAAAGCAGGTATGTAGCAGGTAGCTCTTTTTCAGAGAGAGGTGAACCATATCCGTGGGACCTGCTGAGACTTCCAAGCAAAAGGCCAGGGGACACGTTCTAAGTGGTGGGCAGGGTCGACGCATGAGACTTTGCGTTTAGTTTTGATTTAGACCGAATCAAAATAAAAGCAAATTAGATGCTGTGGAAGGCAAAGGTGTTTTCAAGGTGATATCCTGCAATGACATTTCAGACAAATGGTTGTCCAGTCTCTTCTTAAAAACGTCTAGTGTTGAAGCATTCACAACTTCTGGAGGCAGGTTGTTCCACTGATTAATTGTTCTGTCAGGAAATTTCTCCTTAGTTCTAGGTTGCTTCTCTCTTTGGTTAGTTTCCATCCCTCCATTCCTTCTTGTCCTGCCTTCAGGTGCTTTGGAGAATAGCTTGACTCCCTTTTCTTTGTGGCAGCCCCTGAGATATAATATTGCTGACTGACCTTGATACACAGGAGATCTTTTCTGAATGGAGCAACACTCTGTGTAATCCTGGCTTTCATTAGAGCTGCAAAGCCAGAGGGATTTGTTAATCTCATTGCTACAATTCTGGAGAAAGAGACGGATTGGTCACAACACCACAATGTGTTGATGAGTGCTTTCTCTAAGACAGACATGTCAAACACAAGGCCCGGGGGCCGGATGCGGCCCGTGAAGTGGTTTCATGTGGCCCGCAAAGCCATCCTGGAAACAGTGAGGGAACAGCCCCCTCTGCCATGGCCCTGGCCCAGGCCAGCCGGGAGCCAATGTACAATTTTGTGGTGGCCCTCTATGCTGAAACGCATTCAGTCTTAGCTCCATAAGACCCCCCCCTGCATGGCCTGAGAGGAACAGTGAGAGTCCTCCAGTGGACCATGCCTTGGCACTTGCCCTGGTCCCAGCCCCTTCTGCCAGAGACCCTCAGATCTGTCCCACTCCTGCCCAGGCCCCCACAGGCACCCTTGACGCGAACGATGTAGAGCTGGCCACACCCACCCAGTAAGCCACACCCACTCCATTCACACCCACCCAGTAGGCCACACCCACCCGGCCCTGAGGGCAACCGCAATGCTGATGCGGCCCTCAATGAAATTGAGTTTGACACCCCTGCTCTAACAGGACCACATGCGTACCATCTGAACCTGGGAAAACCTAGGAGCCCTGGTGCCACAGTGGTTAGAATGCAGTATTGCAGGCTAACTCTGCCCACAGCCTGGAGTTCGGTCCTGACAAGGCTCAAGGTTGACTCAGCCTTCCATCCTTCTGAGGTCGGTTAAATGAGGACCCAGATTGTTTGGGGGCAATATTCAAATAAATGCTGACATTGTTAACCGCCCAAAGAGTGCTGTAAAGCACTATGGGGCGCTATATAAGTCTAAGTGCTATTGCCGTTGCTCTCTGGATGGGTCATCCAAACAAGTTGAATAGTGAATAGTCATAGGGAATCAAGTGTTTGTTAGCCCTGAGGGCAGTGGGATTACCTCTGAACTATTTTTCTGGGCAGCTTCCTCTTTTCCCAGTACCTGTTTAATAGAAGCAGTGCTTCATGGAGAATAGCTTTAGCATCCTTGGCCACTAGACCACGCCCTCCACCTGGCACAAAGGGAGATTTTGCAAGCAACCTGGCAAACAGTGTCTCCGTCCTTGTGGTATTGGTGAAGTGGAGGGCATTACAGCAGTTAGCCAGTCTTACATAGTGATTTAGAAATCTTTCAGGGAACAATTATTCCTGAGGATCTGAAGGTTTCGGAAAACAACACAAAAGCCAGAGTAAACGCAAGCAAACAGTACATAAGTCAAATTCAGCCACTTGTTCATCTGCCAACTTTAGTCAGAAATGTGCTTTTCCAAGAACCCTTTTCTTTAAGTGCTTCTGTGAAACATTCAGGTTACAGCTTATATAGTAGCTACTGGCTGTCTCCATGGACCACCGATATTTCATTAGATTAGATTCATTAGATGCCTATGGCAATATTTAACAGTTGTAACGTCTGTTCTACCACACTTACGTGAATGTCATCATCAATATCAGGCAGGAGACGAGTGATGGCCTGGAAAAAGAAAGGTTACAAGAGGGTCACAAGACGGAAAACCCCAAAGGTTTCATTTCTGAAATAAAGGCTGTGGAGATCTCTTATTAGCTTTATCCCATTTATATAAAAGTTTAGTGAGACAGGATCTCTCCGGCGTCATCATGTTGAGAGAGGATCCCTCCAAACCAATGGGGCAAAAGTTAACAATGATCATTGAGAAGCCCATTAATCCTAAAATACAACAAAGCCTGGATCCAATCCAGAAATAAGATCGGATTGTACTGACAAATAAGGCCAGATACTACAGAAGCTATTAAAAAAAAACCTCCATCATTCCTCCTATAAGCAGAAATCTGATTCATATCATTTGCAGTTCTTCAGAGACATTCATCCTGCTGATTGGGACTTGTAGGAGGATGAAATGAGAGTGTCCCAGCTTATTGGTGGCCCATGCGATGCTTCCCCCCACCCAGTAAAATTGATTTTACTCAAACTGTCACTAAACTTTGTTTACATAAATGACCACTCCCTGTGTATTTAAACACCGTAAATGGCATCTCCCTGGAGAAGTCGATCTTGTCAAATGACAGAAAGCAATTCTTAAATCTTACTTGTCCATAATGCAAGGGGTAGAGCAGTGATGCAAAACCCGTAGTGTCCATAGCTGTGGTTTTTTTTAATTATTATTATTATTCTCACCACCATCCCTCCAAAACAGAGGTTTAGCTAAGGTCATTTTAGGATTGTATATCCCTTTAGTCAAGTACTTTGGCCACCTAATGAGAAGGAAGGACTCACTGGAGAAGAGCCTGATGCTGGGAAAGATTGAGGGCAATAGAAGAAGGGGACGACAGAGAATGAGGTGGCTGGATGGAGTCACTGAAGCAGCAGGCGTGAGCTTAAATGGACTCCAGAAGATGGTAGAGGACAGGAAGACCTGGAGGAACATTGTCTGTGGGGTCGCGATGGGTCGGACATGACTTCGCAACTAACAACATCCCTTTATGTCACTTCAAAATGGAAGGAAGTTGTTCCATGGGTTTTCAGTTATTTTATTACAGGAAGCTCTGCAGAGAGTTCAATTTCCTCATCGTTAATCTATACTTTTCATTTAATAGCAACATTCTGGGGAACCAGTATCTTGTTAACAGGTAAAGTGCAAAAACGTCCCCAGGTAGTTTTGAATCAGCCACTTTCTCTCTGTCCATCCTGTCTCACCACTCCCAAAGAGCTTTCTTCTGAGCTCCAGAAGAGAGGATGAAAATTTAAGGAAGACTAGAATAACGAATTACGTTTGTGAAATAAAGCGTTCTATAAGAAGCGGGTATGCTAAGACCACAATCGGGACAGAACAAATGATATGGGTCACTTTCAAAAAAAAAAAGTTTACACGATAGTAGACAAATATGAAAATCACTGCCGAGTGAGTACTGGGGAGGATTATCCCATAAATGATGTCCCTACTGCACTTCAGAACAGGACCTGCGATTTGAGAGTCTGGAAGATTTGGCAGTCTTTCTGGTGCAATTATGCAAACTTATCTCTTAAGCGGACAGCAAAACCCCGCTCCCTTCGAGCACTGATGATGTTACCTAGTTGGGTAATGAAACGTCTGCAAGAAAGCAACCAGGCACAGAGAACACAACTCACCTCTTCTTTGTTGACTAAAGGTTTCTGCTCTGCAACACGAGATTCCGGACCATCTGACGACATTGTCAGCAGTTGGTACCTAAGAAAATGCAGAAATGTTAATGTTCCTTAGGACCAGAATGCTGTACATACATATCTATCAAAAGAAAAGAATATTTGAAGCTCCGGGTTGAACCGTGGGATCCTGGATGCTCTCTGAGCTTGCTTGTTTTCTTGCAGACATTTCATTACCCAACTAGGTAACTTCATCAGTGCCGATGTTACCTAGTTTGGTAATGAAACATCTGCTGGAAAAGCACCAAGCTCAGAGAATACCACATATCTGCGTTTTTACAAGATTGAGATTTTTCAAAGCCAAAAGCGTAAAAGCTGAATAGACCTCTGCAGAGGTGCCCGACAGGCCCCACAGAACGTGGACCGATGATGCTATGAGATGTTTTGGGCAGCAGAAGACCTGCCTTCCAGAATTCTCTTGACCAAACGCTCGGCTGCCAGACCTGGCCATTGCTTCTATCTCACTTTTGCAAAATCAGCAGAGCTTCTGATTGGGGAACAATGACCCACAACTGGGTGGCTTTTCAACACTGTAAATCCATTCATTTAGTTAAATGGAGTAAAGCAGGAGAGGCGAAATAACTAGACGAAGGAGCCTCAGAGTGTTTCCTGCTGGCCTTGCTGATATTCCTTTCTTATAAGCTGATAAAGCTGTGATGTGCATTTGGGACAACGTGCATTTCTTTTCTGTTTCCAAAATCAGCTGAAAAAGAGTCATAGGGCAGAGCAATGCACTGACAGGGTCGCTGGCAAGATAAAGCCTGGGTGACTATCAGCAAAAAGCATTTAAAATAACAACAGTGAATATTACAATATAGATAACGAGAATAAATAGATCATCTGTGATTGTATTCGAAAAGGCACATAGGTTCGAATTTTCCTCACCATCTTAAAACAAGGGATGCAGAAAAGACCTTCCAAATGGTTGAATTTGGTTAACTTCTGAATCAAATCAAATTATAAGAGTTAACGTAATCACAGAACTTATCTCTGTGGTTAGAATCAGGCAGCAGAATTATAGATAATATTAAGCAATATATCCTAGGACAGGGTTGACTCTCATTATTCTGCCTCTTTCCCTCTGTGATAATTGGTAGATGATGACCAAAAAGTAGACGGAACTGAGCCAAGAACCCAAGGATAAATCGTCAGAAATTCTAATTTACATTCAAGGTACAGATGATTAAACGGCACCAATATTGCAACTCAGTGGTTAGTTGCAATTAATATTAACAGGACCTTCTTAATGATGGGAAACCAGAGCTTCTGTAGAAGGTATTTAGAAGGTATACTGAATGCATGGTCTAGGTCAGGGATAGGCAACCTTGGCTCTTTTATGACTCGTGGACTTCAACTCCCAGAATTCCTGAGCCAGCCATGCTGAGGGGAAAGGGAGAGTTTCCATGCTGAGCCATGCTGGCTCAGGAATTCTGGGAGTTGAAGTCCACGAGTCATAAAAGAGCCAAGGTTCCCCACCCCTGCCCTATATCCGGGGTCCTCAACCTTGGCAACTTTAAGACTCGTGGACTTCAACTCCCAGAATTCCTGAGCCAGCATGGCTCAGCATGGAAACCTCTCCCTGTCCCCTCAGCATGGCTGGCTCAGGAATTCTGGGAGTTGAAGTCCACCAGTCATAAAAGAGCCAAGTTTGCCTACCCCTGGTCTAGGACTAGGTAACTTTGAGGAATCCATGGGAATATTTGACACTTTCAGATTATATGACGGCGTTTTCACAGTGCGACAGTTAGAACTGACCTGTTCAGTTCTACAAAACACATGTAAAAGGCAAATGCCTAGATAACATGTCCTACCCTCCTGCATGTTTCACCCCATTTTATCATGCTGTTTACTTCCTCTCCTCCAGAAACCTTACACATTTCTGACCAAGGACCTCAGTGGAGGAAACCCAACATTTTGGTTTCTAAAAACGCCAGTGCTGCTGATGTAAGTCTTTGAGATGCCCTTGTAAACTAGTACAATCTGGGAGGCTGTATCACAGCAGGAAAGACTTAAATAATCTAAAATAAAACAAAGCCAGAGAGGAAGGAACTTGGTGGTCACCCAAGGTTGTGTTCACGAACTCCAGGCTATCTACAGTTTGGTAGACATTCTAAGTAAGAAGAAGACAGACGATTGAGATTACTGTTATCAAGGGACATTACTCAAAACATAAAGTAAAGTCACGCCCGGAGTTTTGATTTCACTTCCCCAAATGAAGAGAAACCGGATGAGGATTGAGTATTAGAAGAACTCCATGGTCTAACATCGTGAGCCGAACACGTCAATCTCCTCATTTCAAGTAAATCACATAAAATTAACGAACAAAACCAGTGGGAGACTGAACTCCTACTGTTTTTATAACAGGGGGTCCGGAGGCCTCACAGAACAAAACACATAATGAAGTTCCGCCACAGCCAGCGTGGGGTCACTGATAAGGTCTCTCATTAGCTGTCCTTCAAACAAGACAACATGGCCTTTACATCCGGAGGTCGGTCTGATTCAGGCATCCAAAACAGGATCCCGTCAATTAAGCATGCTTCAAAGTATCGATAAGGATTTCTTCTTTGAAAAAACAACAACTGTTTAGCTATCTAGCCCTAAGGGGGGGGGAAATGAAACTCTGGTCATTTCATCACGATCCCCAGAAGTATTAGCACTGCTTTATAAAACCCTAGTTAAGACCAGACCTGGAATACTGCAGCCAATTTTGGTCACCATACTACAAAAAAGATGTTGAGACTTTGGAAAAAGCTCAGAGAACAGCAACTAAGATGATCAGAGGCCTGGAGATTAAAACATACGAAGAACTGTTGCCAGACTTGGGTTTGGCTAGTCTAAAGAAAAGAAGAAATAGGGGAGAGATAATAGCAATGTTCCAGTATCTGAGGGGCTGCCACAAAGAAGAGGGGGTCACGTTATTCTCCAAAGCTCCAGAGGGCAGGACAAGAAACAGTGGTTGGAAACTGATCAGAGAGAGAAGCAACCTGGAATTAAGGAGAAACTTCCTGACAGTGAGGACCATCAACCAGTGGAACAGCTTTGCTTCCAGAAACCGTGGGCGCTCCATCACTGGAGGTTTTTAAGAAGAGACTGGGCAGTCACTGGACTGTCAGACAGTTGGAAATGCTGTCTGAAGCCTCGTGGACCTGTTCTGGGCAGCTTAGGGAGACCGGAGCTGCAGCGCTGAGCGCTGTGCTAAGATAGCTAACGAGGGGTGAGGGAAAGAGCAAGGGGAAATTCCCCAGAGCCCTGGGGAAGGAAAAGGGGGGAGTGTTACACCCCCCCTCAGCCTCAAATCAGCCGATCTGAGGCAGCGCTGAGCCCAGCACTGCTGAGAGGCTGTGGAGGTAAGAGGAGAGGAGAAAATCCACTATTCCCAGGGATAATGTGGATGAGGAGAGGAAAATTCACCAATGGGAGACTCTATACCTGTTGAAACTTGAGAGCCAAACCTGACACGTCTTTTAGAGCTGGAGACCAAGTCAAGACTGGGTTCTCCTAGCAACAGGTGGCGTGACAAGTTTGGCTGACTTGGTCTCAAGAGCAGGCAGACAGAGAAAACCCATCGGTGGATTCTCCATCTCCTGTGCTGGAGAAGGTAGAGATTCCCCTGCCTTTGCAGGGGGCTGGACTAGAAGACCTCCGAGGTCCCTTCCAGCTCTATGCTATCATAAAGAAAGACAGAATAGCAAGCCAGAAAAAAAATGAACAATTGACCCCATGGACCGCTTTCTTCTTGCCTGCAGAGGGAGTTCAGAGCACACTGAGAAACGACTCAGAGCTCAGGCACCTTCAGAGAATCCAAGGGCAGAGGTCCCTTACGGCTGTTTCCGGCAATATAAATCACATGCCTGCCTTGTAAATCCATCTTGTGACTAATATGGAGTGCACGTAAGCAAGATAACACTCCTACCCCACATAAAAATACCTCGTAAAATAAGAAATAGCTGTTTTGTTTTTGTTTGTTTTTTTTAAAGTTCATGCGCAATCTGTTCTCATGTTCTCATGTGGTGCCTGCCAGATATTTAACACTGGGCTCGCCTTCTGATCAAAAACTGCATACACATCATTTGCACACAAAGACATTTGGAGCACTTCGATTTGGGGAAAGTTATTTGCTACCTTCCGCGTATCACTAGCTCAGTTCAGTCCTTTTTATCGGGGAATTATTCCCAAGAAAGCATGAAAAAGGCAGACCAAACTAAGAATCCCACGTCAGGAGTCCTTTTATTGAAACAGATATAGCAGCTGAATCTTGCAAGCAACTGATGGAAACTAATCAAAGAGAGAAGCAACCTAGAACTAAGGAGAAACTTCTTGACAGAACAATTAACCAGTGGAACAACCTGCCTCCAGAAGCGGTGAATGCGCCAACACTGGAAGTTTTTAAGAGACTGGACATTTATCGTCTGAAATGGTATAGGGCAGGGGTAGGCAACCTTGGCTCTTTTATGACTCGTGGACTTCAACTCCCAGAATTTCTGAGCCAGCATGGAAATCTCTCCCTTTCCCCTCAGCATGGCTGGCTCAGGAATTCTGGGAGTTGAAGTCCAGGAGTCATAAAAGAGCCAAGGTTGCCTACCCCTGGTATAGGGTTTCCTGCCTGAGCAGGGGATTGGAGTAGATAGATGACCTGCAAGGTCCCTTCCAACTCTATTATTTTGAATGTGCTTCCTTCCTCCCTCTTTTTATTTTTGTGTGAATTAGGCAGGGGCTTGTCTGAGATGTTTTCTCAAGTTACTTTCTTGGATGCGGCTCAAGCCCGTTATCTGACCACTGCTTTAGTAATGGCTCTCCCTGCCTTCGTGGCCATTCCCTCTGGCTGCCATATAAATAACCTCACCTGCAGATTTGGAGGCTGAATGTCTAAGCCTCGGCATCTTCAGGATGCAGAAGGTTGCAGTTAAAGAAAGTAATACAGTATGCCTTTTTTCTTTTGTGTTTGGTTTTTTGACATGAGAAATATAAAAATGTTGGGATGGTTTACATAAAAGAAATGTTTTCTCTGTTTTGTCTCCCCCCCCCTCTTATTTTTCTTTAAGATATGAGAAATGTAAAAATCTGATGGCTTGTATGAGAAAAAAGACTTAAAGACTTAAGTGTAACTAATTTTGAGAAAATCTTAACCAGAAAGAATGTTTTGAATATTGTGGGGAAAACAAATTTAAATAAGAATGTAAACAGGATTCATGACGAGGCAATCAAGAGGATTAATGAAAAGAAGCTTTATATTGATGTGGTTATTATTTGCAGAAACATGAGAAAA